GGCCAAGCAGCATCATAGGAGCAGAGAGGCTCTCTGCTGCTTGGCCTGCTGTGTTCATCCAGCCCTGCACCTTGTTGTCTCGGAGCCTCTCTGCTCCTATGATGCTGCTTGGCCTGCTGTGTTCATCCAGCCCTGCACCTTGTTGACCATTAAATATGTTGTTTTGACATTTTAAAAAAAACCAACTGTTAATGTCCCTCAGAAAGAGGAACCTGATACCCTCACCCAGTGAGGCCTAGACATGACTACAACCTCAAGTAACAGATTGACCCTGTGAAGTGGCCTAGCAACCCAATTAAAATTAAAATTCTGGAAATCTGAAATAAAAACACAAAATAGTGTAAAAACTAAGCTGGTCTGACAGCATCTGTGGAAAGCGAAATATAGAGTTAACATTTCAATTCCACTATGACTCCTCTTCAGAACTCCTTCCACCTGGATTACTGTGTGCAGTTTTGATCTCGTATGAGAAGCACATATTTACCTTGCAGGGATGCGCAACAAAAAAAAAATGACTCGACAAGTTCCTGGATGAAGGGATTTTCCTATGAAGAGAGCTTGTGTCCAGGTCAGAATTTCCTGAAGTTTAGGAGAATGAGAACCAATCTCATTCAATCATTTAAAAAAAATCTCCGGAACTTGACAAAATAGATTCAGTGAGGCTGTTTGTCTGGTTTGGAATGATAGAACATGGGGTCACAAACTCAGAATAAGGAGTCGTCCATTTAATATGATATGGGAGATTTCTTCATTCAGAGGATTTGAATCTTTGGAGTTTCTAACCTAGAAAGCTTTGGATGCTGAAGTGAGGATATTCAAGGTAGAGGTTTTTGGACACAAATGTAATTAAAGAATTTAGAGAGAGTGTTCAGGTCGAATCACAAGCATGTTATAAAATATTGAATAAGATGAAACATCTTTTCATAAATTTTAATTATTCTTGCATTAGTAGTCATCAAATTAGGAATTAGGAGCGGGAGTAGGTAATTCAGCCCTTTGAGGCTGTTCTGCCATTTAACATGATCATGACTGATCTTATCCTTGTCTCAGCTCCACTTTTCTGCCTGGTCCCCGTAGCCCTTTTACCACTCTTATCATCAGAAACATATTTGAATCTGTTGATTGATTCTGCCTCCACTGCACTCTGGGACTACTTCTGAGAGAAGTAGTTTCTCCTCCTCTCTGTATCTTGTTCCACAAGGGAGGACATCTGTTCAATGTCCACCTTATCAATCCCTTTTAGCATTTTATACACCTCAATCAGATCTCCCCTTATTCTTTTGAACTCCAGTGAGTACAAGCCCAAGCTATTCAACTCCTCCTCATACGACAGTCCTTTCATCCATGGATCAGCCTGGTGAACCTCCAACACATCCTTCCTCAAGTAAGGACACCAAAACTGGACACAGTACCCCAGATGTGGTCTCACCAATGCCTTAAATTATTGTAACAATGCTTCTTTACTTTCATAATCCAGTCCTTTTGCAATAAATACCAAAATTCTGTTTGCCTTTTTTATTATATGCTGCACCTGCATACGCACCTTCTGCGATTCGTGCACAAGGATACCCAGTTCCCTCTGCACTGATGCACTTTGAATCTACTTCCCGTTTAAATAATAATTCGCCCTTTTATTTTTCCAGCCAAAATGGACAACCTCGCACTTATCCACATTAAACTCCATCTGCCAGACTCTGGCTCATTCTCCTCGCCTATCAATATTCATTTGTAAACTCTATCTCCTCATCACAGCCTGCTTTCCCACCTATTTTAGTATCATCCATGAATTTTGCTGTTACCCTCTGTCCCTGCTTGCGGTTCCATTTATATCTGAAATCCAAAACATCTGAATCTCAAGATCAATATTTGTTCAACTCCATTTGTATAAAATTTTAATGTAATTTACAAAAGAACCAGAATGGAGATGGGCCAAAAATGTTTTTACGTGACGTGGCATCACCTTAAATGGCAGTATAAGTAGATTCAATAACAATGTTCAAAAGGGAATGGGATTTATCTTTGGGGGTAGACCATCTGACATGAAAATAAACCATTTGGTCTCTGCTAATGTTGATGTTCCAAAAATCCCTTCTTCATCTACTCCTGCTCCTTTTTCGCTATCTACATTTACTCAGTTTATCCTTCAGTAAATAGTGTGGATGCATTTTGACCTTGTCATATGGTATGAATTTCAACATTTCTAGCAACGGAATAATTTGCAGGGCTATGGGACAAACTGAGTGGACTCTTTCCCTGCTTTAAGATTTACTGGACTTGAAATTCAAAACGTGTCAGATTTTTATCATGCTCTATTAAAACAGTTTGTGTGTAGATTTTTCAGACTCTCTCTGCCTCTGCCCAAAAGAAAATTCAGCAAAGTCCAGATAAAACATAGAAATAAATGGAGCGAATTGTTAATGCACAAAGCCTTTCCTTCATTGATCCCCTGATGGTCCCAAAGCAGTCAGGCCTAACCACCAGCATCAAGCCAGGCTGTGTACTCTGTGTCTCAATGTTCAACATTTAGTAAAAATCTTGGGCTTTGCAATGATGTGAAATGTAATTTTTTTTTTAATTGGCCATTAAAGATAGAAAAAATAAAATCCACAAAGTCATGGCTATTGGTCAGAGACAATAGGGTTAATGAGAGTGAGGTTGAGGTGGGGAGAGACTGGAGCCATAACTACAGTTGACAAACGATGGATATTTTAAGAGGCCTCAATCTGTTTTTTATTTGTAAGACAAAGTACTGTTCCTTTTTGTCTGTTTACGAGGAGTTGATCCGGGGCACAAATAACTGAATTTAATCCTGCTTCAGATATTATGACCGTACAATATATTAAATGGCAGCTGCTGTACAGGAAACACAATTAGGATATCACCCTAATAATTCCAGCAAGTAAATTGCACATGTCCAGAAAGACAGTGATAGACTCCAGAATCTTCCAAGACTCCTCCATTCCATTTTATTGTTGCAACCCCTTCTCTCTGAAGTTGGATGTGGACAGTGTATCTCTGTTTGTTTCAGCTACATATTATTTCAAAGACATTTTTCAAACCCATTTTAATAACACAAACAAGCCTCTGATTTGATAATTATGGTGTATTAGAGCTTAACACGACATTATTCAGCACTTATGAGAAAGCTGGGTCATTGACAATAATGTAGAATAATGAATGGCTTGAAGGGAGTTGTAACGTAATTGAGAGTTTGAGATGACATTGTAAACCATGAGAGTGAAACATGGCAAGTTTTATATGAGACATCTGATCCGGAGATTATGTTAGTGCTGTGGGCACCTGCAGGAAGGATGAAGGGGGGAGGTAGAATGAGAGTGGGGGAGATGCAGGATTTATGCTCTTTGTCTGTCTCTGTGTATTTTCTGTCTCTTTCTGTGACTGTTGCTTACCTGCTCCCTCTGTCTTCTCTCTCTCCTCTTTGTCTCTCAACTGGGTTCTGCGTTGTGATTTAATAATGGTCTTGTTTATGTTTTCATGAAATGTATTTATTAATGTGCATTGGCCATGATAGGCCAAGGTTTTGTTCTGAATTTCAAAGAAGAAAACACTTGAGATGGGACATAAGGGGATAATGAGATGCTCCGAAGTTACCCTTTTCGCTGCCACTCCATTCTTTCATACTTGCAGACAGTAAGTTAAAGTTTGAGTACAAGCTCCAGAATCCAGTTTCAAATTACCTCTAGTCAATGTGGTACAATATTAGTTTCCTTTTAAATTGTTCAAGAATGTCATTAGTCTTGTACCTCTGCGTTAACCATGTAGTTACTGCACAGTGCAAACACCGTACCCCACATTCAGTGACAACAGCCAGCCCATAGCACAAGCTGCCG